ATCTTTTCTTGGCACTCTGTGGGCCCCTTGGTACCAATTGAGCATCGTTGCAACGCCACAGCCTACCTGAGTATTGTTGCTGACCATGTCCATCCCTTTATGACCACAAAACCGTTACTAGCGTGGTGTACCTAATAAAGTGGCCGGTGAGTGTAAATCCATGCTTGTATGAGGGCTGACTAGAATAAACATAAAGTACTTCCTACATAAGATTGTAGACCTGAATTATATCCAGACCTGGTGAACACAATGTTTTTTTTGACTTTGTCAAGTTTGAAGCCTTTGAAGTCTTTTTTATGTTTTAAAGTTATGCAATGTCTAAAGGTTGATGCGGTGATGACAGAAAAAACCATAAACTAAACAATTCACAGCTGATTTTAATTTTGACATTTTAAGTAATGTGTTTCTGCTGAGATTTGATGATTACTTTTATCAATTTTTCTTTTGTTGTTGTGAAATTCTGCTGACATTTTATTAAACTAGTTTAAAAGTGCAATAACTGCCATAAACATGAAGATGTTTATGGCAGATCTGAGTAATTTAATGTGTTCATCTCAGCACCAAATTGGGTGATTAGGTGKAATTTTTTGTTTCTTCTTTTGTTATTGAACCACCTTCTACACAAAACAAATGAATATCTGTGTTAAGTTCTGGATATCTTGTGTTGTTATTTCATGTCAATGTTGACAATAAATGTTTCACAGAAAATATTTGTTTATTATGTCTTTATTGTTTAATGTAGCTCATTAACAGTAATAGCAAGACTTTTTGGAGCCAATTATTCAAACAGATTTGTAGGGAGCATCATAATTTTACTGTGCATGGTACTTTCTTCAAAACACATCAGGAGTTCAACTGAAATGTATTTTTATAACAATGTTTATTGTTCAGCTAGAACTGTAATACAACAGCAAAGTGTAAAAAAGGATACAGCCATTCAGAAATGCCTACAATATCACGACTTACTGAAAGATCAATTAAACCACCTGCTTCGAAAAAGATGAAGGCCCACCGCTCACTAGAAATGGACCAAGGTAACACTGTGCAGCAAATATCAACCATCTTCAATATCAGACTAGATAGTCTGGAAAAAAAATGGAAAAGCTGATTTCTGACAACACGATGAAGATTGAGGGTCTAAAGAAAACAGTAGACTTTGTATGTGCTGACATTCGGGAGGTAAAGGAGAAAGTTAAAAAAGTAGATGTGAAGACTCGTGAGACAGAAAAAAAACCTTCACACCGTTGACCAACGGGTCACTGAACTGGAGAACTACATGCGACACTGAAACCTGCGCCTGTATGGTGTGCCTGAGGGCAAGGAGCAAGATGTCCGTACTGAGGTGATAAATATATGTAAGGAGATCCTGCCGGAGTTCAAGACAAAATTTCCAGATGTTATTGATACAGTTCACCAACTCGGTCAAGTGAAAAAACATGTCTCCAAGCCACGAGGAATCATGATGCAGTTTACTTCCCGAGTCTCTCACGACAAAGTTTGGAAAGCTGTGAAGAAGTCTTCTTATCTGCAGAACAAGAACCTACGTTTGGCTGAGGACCTGTCACAGGCCACCAGAGAGAGACGGAGGCAGCTGTGGCCACTGGTGGCTAAAGCCCGTGAACAAGGAAAATCTGCATACTATGTCGGAGGAAGAGCCTTTGTTGAAGGGACTGAACTGATTCCACCTGCCTAAAGATAAATGCATCTCAAGTCTGCAAGATTGGCTCTGCTATAAAGATGAGACATGATAAACTACAGTAGTTTTACTGTGTGTTCTAAATATTTCWTAATACTGAAGGGTTGTTATGCGAAAGTAGTTCCTGTTACAGTTAATTTTCTGGTAATTTTTATATGGTGTTCTAGATAGCTGTGTGTCATAAATCATAAGAAGCCTTAGTGTTTTATTTACCTCTCTACTTTTATAACTCTTAATATGTTTCACTAAACATTTTTTATTGAACCTAAAATGGGTCAGCTCCTAATGAGGAGGTTAGTACTCTTTAAGTTTACTTCTTATTTACTGTTCTTTGTTATTAATGTCATTATCTGTTGTTACTTTCAATGCCAGGGGGTTAAGGAATAATATTAAGTGAAAAGCACTATTTTTGTTTGCTAAACAGCATAAATCTGATTTCTGTTTCATTCAAGAGTCACACTCGGTACCAAATGATGGCCGGTTCTGGAGATCTCAGTGGGGACATGAGATATGGCAGGCTCATGGTTCGGAACATGCTGCAGGTGTTTCTACTCTAAAACATAAAYTTTCAGGGAACATACTTTTAACTAAATGTGATCCYTTAGGTCACTTCATCCTTCAAGTGGTTTCTATTGAAAACTTTGTAATGGTAATTGTTAAAATTTATGGATATAATTCTCACAATGATAACAATCTTTTATTGAATACACTGGAGAATCATATTCAAGGGCCTCCAATAACTTTCCTATTTCCGGTATTGTAACAGGTGATTGTAATATGATACTTGATCACAACATGGACTGTTGGCCTCCACGCAACCCTAATGTAGTTCATGTAAATTTAAAATTTTTTATGCAAAAATTTAACTTAATAGATGAATGGAGACAACAAAATCTTAATACTACTGCAGATACTTGGTGTAACAGAAGCAACACTAGAAAATCTCAACTAGACTTTTGGTTGGTTTTCAATAATTTGAACATCGATAAAATATCTGCAAAAATTCTTACAACACGTTTAACAGACCATAGTACAGTTTTGGTTTTCATCCCGTTATATTCGTATTCAAAGCCGTGCAGAGGCGCTTGCTGGAAATTGAATTGCTCATTGTTGGAACATGCGTCAGCTAAATCTGGCTTTAAAAGGATAATAACAGAATTTTGGAATAAAGCATGCTCTGAGAATGCTTATAGCAAAAATTGGGAACTTTTTAAACATAAAGCTGCCCAATTTTTGAGAACTTACGGCAGTAACATCACTAAACGTAGGAGACAGGAAGAAGAGCGTGTAATTTCTAATATAGGTTTATTGTCCCAGAAAAACGCTACTGAGTTGTCTGAAAAGGAACGGTTAGACTTGACCTCAGAGCAAATTAAATTGAATGAAATTTATTTGCAAAAAGCTAAAGGTGCATTTATAAGATCAAGAAAGAARTGGATTGAAGCTGGAGAACAGAACTCAGCTTATTTTTTTTTAATTTAGAAAAACATCATGGTAAGCTTAATTTAATCCTACAACTTAATATTAATGGGGTTTTGACAGATGACTCCCGAAAAATGCACAATTTTGCTCCAACTTTTATAGTAAGCTTTATGAATCCAAATACTGTCATCATTCAGCAACGCATTTTTTCAACTCTCTATGTGATGTTAATCAGATTACTGATAATGAAAAGGAGATATGTGATGAWACTATAACAATACAGGAGGTCTCCTC